TTTGTCAGCTGGTAGGGACAGGGATTGAACCCTGGATCTTGGTGTTATCAGCACCATGCTCTAACCAACTGAGTAACTGAAAAGCCCTATTCTAACAGTTTTATAGTTTTATGTTAACAAGTCCATGACCCATTTTGAGCTAATTTTTGTATAAATTGTGAGACTTAAGTCAAGGTTTTGTTTTGGTTTGGTTTGGACTTTTGCCTATGGATATCCACTTGCTTTAGCGCCATTTGTTGAGAAAGCTCTCTCCTCCATTGAATTGCTTTTGCACATTTGTCAGAAATCAGTGAGGCAGGGTCGGCCTGTGGCTCATTTGGGAGAGTGTGGTGCTGATAACATCAAGTCAAGGGTTAAGATCCCTTTACCGGTCATCTTTTTTTTTTAAAAAAAGAAAGAAATCAGTGGGGCATATTTGTGTGCGTCTATTTCTGGGTTTTCTGAGTAGTATTTCATTGTGTATATAATATGCCACATATTCTTTATCCAGTCATCCCTTGATGGACATTTAGGTTGGTTCCAAATCTTGGCTATTGTGAATATTTCCTTTTCTTGCCTTATTGCACTGACTAGGACTTCCTGCACCATGCTGAATAAGAAGTGGTGAAAGCGGACGTTCTTGCCTTGTTCCTGATCCTAAGAAAAAGCGTTCAGCTTTTCACCATTAAGTGTAATGTTAGCTCTAGGTTTTTGCAGATGCTTTTTATCAAGTTAAGGAAGTTCCCCTTTATTTCCAGTTTTCTGAGAGTTTTTTAAAATCATGAAAGACTGTGGAATTTTTCAAATACTTTTCCGCATGGACTGATATGATCATATGACTCTTTCATCTTTAGCCTGTTAGTATAATGGATTATATATATTAATTTTTCAAATATTTGATCCAGATTTGCCTTCCTGGAATAAACCCCACTTAGCATTAGGCTCTGTACTAGGTTTCTACTGATACATTCCTGGCTGGAGGGGTAGGAAGGAGTGCCTCCTCACTGTTCCCTCCAAGGCCTCTACTGACATCACCTGTGTGCAGGGGGGAAGGGGGTGTCCTGGGTGGCTTCCTTAAGACTGGGCAATGGTGAAAGTCCTGACTCTTCTCCGCTAGGCCTCCTCTGACACCACCAGCCAGCTAACAGTGGGGGGTAGAAGTGCAGGGTCCCTTATTCAGCCTTTACTGGCCTGGGTGGGAGTGGGGGTAGTTTTCTCTGTGGTGTTTGGCTGCAGTAGAACAGTTATTGTCTCAAAGT